GGGGTGGCAGCTCCCCTATGGGACTCTCCAAGAGCAAGCCCAGTGACAGGAGAGGTAACGGCGCCGCCGCCCGACGAAGCCCGGACTCCGGGCGGCGGAGAGCTGGGCGCTGTCGCCCGGATTCAGTAAGCCGTGGGTCTTACTCGGTGCCCGTGTATTGCAGGCGAGGAGCAAAAGAAGGGATCCCCCTATTCGTCTGCTAAGTCTAAGGACAAGTTGTTGGAGAAGCGGTTCCAGGAGTCTAGACAGGCTAGCGAAGAGACCGGGAAGCCCTTGGACAGCCTCCTCCTGGCGACGGCGACAGCCCCACACAGAGAGCCTTTTGCTTCGTTGGAAGGTAGGTGACCTCAGGAGGCCTGCACCGTCGCCGAGGCAGTCGGGGGTGGGGTGATTAGGGTCCCTTTTTAAGGCCTTGATGAGACTGAGCTGATGGGGGACACCTGTAACCCCAGCACTCTGTAATGCCGGGCTGGGGCAGGAGGATCGCGAGTTGGAGCTCAGCCTGGGCAACTTATACAAACCGTGTCTCAAAATAAAAAATAAAAACTGGGCTGGGGACATAATTTAGTTCTAAGGCCCTGGGTTCAATCTTCACTACTCAACCCCTGCAAAAGCCAGGAAAAAGCCCAAATACATATTATCATGTGCATTGGGGCAGTGTTAAATATTTAAAAGGTTAAATATTTAGAGGTGTGGTGGAAAGGTCCTTCTGGCCCCCAGACTGGTGTTAGTAGGGGAAGCAAAGGGCACAGGGAGAGCCTTGTCCCAGGCGTGGCTGTGACCTGGTGACCAGAAGACAGTTCCAACAGGAATTCTAGAAGGGCCAGGAGGTGTAAGTGGGAGAAGCTGCTCCCTGCTGAGACATGGTAGAGCGTGGGTTGACCAGGGCTAAGATGTGGAAGGGTGACAGGAGGAGTACTGGCCTGTCAGGGGACAGGGACAGCTCAGACTGAGACGCTGGCCGCATTAGTAAGGGCTGCCGCAGGAGGCAGTTTGAAATTCAGGTGCTGGGCTTGGGTGAGAGGCTCCAGTTTGAACTTGGGAGCCACTTAGTCAAGGGCTGCAGGAAGGGTCACTGTCCAGGGGGAGCCATGGGAAATGTTGCCCAGTTCTCCAGGTGCTTCCACCTGCAGTTACAGAAAAGCCAAAGCTAGGTCGGGCCACGGATTTAGCTCAGTGCCACTGCACCTGCCTTGCAAGTGCAAGGTCCTGAGTTCAATCCCTGGTACAATAAAAAAGAAAAAAGAAAAGAAAAGCCAGGTAGGTCAACTGTCACTGAGGGTTAAGGACTCAAAGGAAGGGTCAGAAACAGGCATCCAGAGCAGTTGCTCAGCAGTGCAGCCGTGACATCGAGGCCTTTGCCATCCTCGGTGTCAGGGACGTCTTCCTTCATAACCCTGGGGAGCCCGAGTGCTCTGGGTGTCACTTGCAGACTCTTGAGAGCCTTCTCCCTGCTGCCTGAAGGCCAGGCACCCTTCCTGGTGGGATTAGCTCTTGAGGGACCAGTGGAACCAGGAGTCAGGGAGAGGACAGGACCTCTGCCGGTGAAGAACTGTCATTTGGAAGGGCACCACCAGTGTCTGTCACTCAGTGTCACTCAAGGGTTAGAAGAAGGTAGATGTGAAGGGAAAACAGCCAGACACAGAAGTGCACACCTGTGATCTCACTACTTGGGAGACTGAGGCAAGAGGATTACAAGTTTGAGTCTCACCTGGGGAACTAGGCTCTGTCTCAAAATGAAAAATAAGCCAGGTGAAATGGCACATGCCTGTAATCCCAGCATTGGGTAGGTAGGCTGAGGCAGGAGGATCACCAGTTCTTAGCCAGCCTGGCCTGCACAGTGAGACCCTGTGAGGATGGGATTTCAAGACAGATGGTGAAGGCTGAGGTTCCTCCAACAATGGAACGATGTCCTCAACAGGAACAAGGAACAAGCCCCTGCCACATGCTGCATTGTGGAGCAACCCCAAACTCCACGCCCAGAAAGAGAAGCTAGGACCAAGGCCACACACTAATGACTCTCTGTGTATGAAATGTCCTGAAAGGGAGAACAGTAGAGAGAAGCGGTCTGTAGCCGGCTGGAGCCAGGGGTTGGAGTGGGGATGAGTCCACAAGGGGACTTGTGGTGATGGAAATGTGCCTAAAACTGCATCTAGGGCCGCAGAAAGAGTAAACTGTGCTGTGTATACACACCAGGTCTCCTTGATGAAGGTAAGCATTGTGAACTAATACAAATAAGAATTTGAGGGCTGGGGATTTAGCTCAGTGGTTCCAGCACATGCCTCACAAGTACAAGGACCTGAGTGTGATCCCAGGTACCAAAAAAAGAAAGGAAAAAAAAAAAAAAGAATTTGAAAGAACAAAACAGCGTTTGGCTGGGTGCAGTGGTGTGTACCTGCAGTCTTGCTCTTTGGGAAGCTGAGGGAGAGGATTGCTTGAGGCCAGAGGTTCGAGGCCAGGCTAGGCAATGTGATGAGAGCCTGTCTCCAGAGAAACTTGCACCGGCGGTGCCCATCTCCGAGGCCGGGAGCCACACAGGTGTGGGCTGCAGCACGTGGTCCTGGTCTCTCATCTCCAGCCCAGGCCAGGCTATGAGGAAATGAGCCTGAAGGAGACTCTGAGGCCCTGGCTGCTCCACCCAGCTGAGCCCACCAAGGTGCAGGTCAGTAACACCTGCCTGCAGCTTCTGGGACCCTGCGCAGTCACTGCTCAGACACATCTGTGCTGCGCTCCTGACCCATGCATTTGTGAGGAGGAAGAATCAGTGCTTTAAGCTGCGGGTCTGGGTGAGTGGAGAGGCGGTGGCAAAGGCAAGTCAAGGGGAAGCAGAGGGGTGGAGAGGAGTTTGTCCTGAGTGGGCACCGAGGGGCTGGGGCGGAGTGTTGCACTACTCGCTGCTGCTTCGTCCCTGGAGGCTTTGTGCTACAGACCCACATGTGTGCTCCTGCAGAGAGAAGCACAGCACCGACTTACGATCAGCCTCTTCCAGAAATGCTGGAAATGCTACTGGAAAATAACCCAGTTCCTTCAATGAATAAATGGCACAAAGGAAGGAGAGGTTATTATAATGAACCAAAAATTCAGTGTGTAAACCTAGGCTGGACCAGCCTTGTTTCTTACTCATTTATTTTGGTACCAGGGATTGAACTCAGGACCTTGCATTTGCGAGGCAGGCATGGGCACCTCTGAACTAAATCCCCAGCCCATTATTTACTTATTTATGGTTTTTTGAGACAGGGTCTCACTAGATAGCACAAGCTGGCCTTGAACCCGAAGTCTTCCTGCCTCAGCCTCCCAAGTGCTGGGATGACAGGTGTGCATCTGTGGGGGGTGGGTTGTCTTGACAGTCACATTTTGTATTAGGGAATAATACGGGCTCTGGGTTAGTTTTCTTAGAGGTGATAATGCTACTGTAGTTAAGCTAAAATAGTCCTCATCTGGTAGATATACTGTACTGTGTAGGGTTAGAGTTATCTGTCTGGAATTTGCTTGAAAATACTGAGGCAAAGGAAGAGAATATCTGGGCTGTGGTGCCACACCCACTGCATAAGCACAAGCTCCTGAGTTTGACCCCGGTACCGAGGAAAAGGAAGACGGGCCGACAGTGACGGCAGCTACGTGGTGCAGACACAGGTGCCGCACTGTGCTTTTCCACGTGTTTGAGAATTTCCGCAGTAAACTTATTCTGAAGGTAGAATCTGCTAAGTTATAAGAGGATTTTGAAAAATAAACTGAGGTAGGGAAGTGGGGGGAGATTTTAGACGTGTTATGGACATGTTCCAGCCCCCCATGACGAATGTAAGCATATGCTGCAAACATTCACTAACAGCATTTAAAAAAATAAAACTAAGAGACATTCTGTCAGCTAGTTATCCTGGTTTTGTTGTTTATTTTTGTTCTCTTGAGAAAAGATCTCTCTGTGTAGTTCAGGCTGTCCTCGAACTTGAGGTGATGTTCCTGCCTCAGCCTTCTAAGCGCTGGGATCATCAGTGTGCACTACCACACCAGCTACCTGTCAGCTCTTTCTTTCTTTCTTTCTTTTTTTTTTTTGGTACTGGGGATTGAACTTGGGACCTTGCACTTGTGAGGCAGGGGGTGGAACCACAGAGCTAAATCCCTGGATGTCGGCTGTTTTAAAATTCCATGCTGGTGCCAGGTGTGGTGGTGCATTCTTGTGATCCCAGCTACTCGTGAGCTGTGGCAGGAGGGGGTGTATCCCGTGGCAGAGAGCTTGCCTGGCATAGTGATGCCCTGGATTCAACCTAGCGCTGAGGGAAAAGGCCTGTGTCCAAGGGTCTCAGCTGTGCCACTTGGCACCGTGGCTTAGCTAGATGACAGAGAAAGAGGAGGCAGACTCAGTATCCGACCTCAGGCTGGGGCAGTGAGAGGGTCCCGGGCCTTTTCTACCTACACTCACATTGGCCACGTCGGTTCCCCAGTGTCCATACTGCCCTGCGGTCGGGATGGTGTGGACTCAGGGAATGCGAGTGGTGGTGCACAGACTGCTGTGAACACTCTTTCAACTTTCTATCAATGTACACATATTTTAATCATTTTAACAATAAACTCAATAAAAAATAATTTTAAAAAGTCTCAAAATTTGTAACACTTAAAATGTAGTTTTGGCAGGGTATCGTGGCACAAGCCTGTAATCCCTGCACTGAGGAGGCTGAGGCAAGAGAATTGCTATGAGTTCAGGGCCAGCCTGGGCTACACAGTTCAAGGATAGACAACTACGTAGCAACACCCTGTCTCAAACTAATATTAATAATAATAATATTAATGATAATAAAATCTGGTTTTAATGGGAAAAAAGATCAGCTGGTAGTGTCGATTCTCTATATTAGGTCTAATGGTGCACACTTGTAATGTCAGCTATTCAGGAGGCTGAGGCAGGAGGATCTCAAGTTCCAGCTTAGTATGGGCAATTTAGCAACATCCCCATCTCAAAACAGAATAAAAAGGATGTAGCTCAGTGATGCTTGTGTGGCATGCATGAGCCCTTGAGTTCAATCCCCAGTACTAAAAGAAACAAGAAAAAAAATCAATGAAATAGAAAAAGTGGAGAACAAGGCACGTATGTGTGTAATAGGTGTATGATAAAGCTGGCACCAAAAACAAGTGGGAAGGGAAGGGTATTATGTGATTAATACTGCTAGGAAAGTTGTCTAACACTTCACAGCCTTGTGTCATGCAGTGTGATAGATGACTTCCAGTTGGCCACAGTGAGAAGAAAAAGAGGAAAGTGTAAACCTTACTTTGACTTCCCCACATAGAGCACCTTCTGCAGCCTCAGAGAAGGCAGTCCCAAGCAAATAACTGCAGGACCTGATGACATCAGTAGTTAAAACCTGGGCCAGGTGAGGTGGTTTGCACCTGTAATCCACACTCAAGGGGCTGAGGCAGGGGATCGCCATGAGTTTGAGGCCAGCCTAGGTACATCATGAGCTCAAGGCCAGTCTGACTGAACTATACAGTGAAACCCTGTTTTTTAAAAAAGAATTAGTTGCAAGCACAAAGACCCAAGTTCAATCCCCGGTACAAAAAAAAAAAAAAAAAAAAAAATCTCTG